TAACCTCCTTTTATCATATCAAAAATTATAGAAAAACAGAAATACACACAAAATGTTGACATCATAACATATTGTGTAATCTCTGGAAAATTCTGTACATTCAAAAGAGAATGGGAGCGTTAAAAAAAAATAGTGTCAGTATGTTTTAAAATAGTACTGATTTTTATCTTTAAGCTCCTTGGATCACATTTAAAACCTGATGCTCTAGATTAAACTTCAAGAAAAACACAAAATGTATAGTTTTAAAAAATCAGTAGATCAATTTAAATAGAATTTTGAACAATGACTCAAAGATCACAGGAAATGATGGACAGAGGAACAATAAAACAAAAGATGGGTGAATAGAAACAAATAATAAAATGTAAACTCTAAATACAAGCACATCACCACTTTCTCTTATGTTAATAGACTAAACACTGAAAAAGTAGAAATGCCCAAATGGACTTTTGATAAAGCAAAACCTATTTATTGATATATGCTGTTTTATAGAGTGTGCTTTAAATTTAAAGACATCTGAATAGAAACTAGAAATGAATGTACTATGCATTCAGGCAACGTAAGGAGGTACTTTAATCTTAGACAAAATAGGATTCAAGACAAAGAGTATTATTAGTATAAGATATAAAGAGGTACACTTCATTAGGAGGCCAAGAGTATTATCAAATATAAAGAGGTATACATCATCAAAAAGGTATAATCAGGAAAAATCATAAATGTTTGCATGAAGCCAAAATGGTAAGAAATAAAGAGAACAGAAGAATTATAAAAGCATAAGAAATAAGGAAGGGAATTCCCTACCATCATAGAGTCTTAGTAATGGATCTTATTCAGTTTACAAAAAAAAAGCATTAAATGTAGAAAATCTGAGCATTATCAATACCTGTGAGCTAATTCCCGATATTAGGAGAATTTTTATCAAAATAAGTCTTATATTGAACAATACAACAAATATTACATTCAAATTAAAGTCAAAAGTTAATACTCTTAATAGATCAACAATTTTGATGTACATAAAAAAAAGACAGAATGTAAATACAAATTGCCAATACCATGAATGAAAGAGGAAATATGAAAACACTAAAATGGTAAATATTAAAAGAAAAGTGAACAACTCTGTGGATATATTTTATGATTTAGGTGAAATGGACTCTTTTTAAGAAATGCAGGTAACAAAATTGATAGAAAATAAAATACAGAATGCAAGTAGTTCTGACAAATCAACCTACATTTACGTAGTCTTTGATAAAGGTGCCAAAACAATCCAATAGGGAAAAGGAATCTTTTAAACTAGTGATGCTGGGACAAGTATGAATCCATACAGAATGAGATGGACTTCTAAATAACTCCACCTCAAGCTACACCTTAAGGAAAAAAATGCTTCATTGTCCTAAATATAAATAAAAAGAAATCTGAAACTTCCAAAAGCAGACACTAGAGAATTTCTTGGATATAGGCAAATTTCTTAGATCACATAGAATTTTTTAAAAAGTTGATAAATTAGACTTAATTAAGATTTTTAAAATTTCACCAAAAGATAAGACTAATAAATATGCAAAGGAAAGCCACAGATTTGAAAAAAAAATTTGAATACATATATCTGACAATAAATTCCTTTCCAGCATATATAACACTCTCCTACAATGCAAAAATAACAAAAAGACAGTCCAAAAGATTTGAATAGATTTTTCACAAAGAAGATAAATGGCAATTAGTGCAATATTATTGGTTGCTGGGGAAATGTTAATTTAAAAAATAAGATATCTACCAGTATGGCTGACAAACTCAAATATGTCCTAGGAGATGGAAAAACTGTACCTTTCATAGTTTGTTGGGAGTATAAGTTATACATCCCTTTTGGAAAAACATCTGACAGTTTTTGTACATTTGAACTGATACCTACAAAGTGACCCAGCAATTCCACCCTTAGGTAATTACCCAAAAGAAATAAAAGCATATATACACGAAAAGATTGGTGTAAGAATGTTCATAGAAACTGTACATCAACAGGAAAAACTGGAAAAACAAACTGTCATATAAACAAAACTCATAGAATCTTACAATGGAATTAGAGTGAATAAATATCATGATCTGCCTAAAACTAAAGAGTTTTCTGGGATGTGGGATTATCACTGCTAAAACCAGGAAACTCTTGAGCAAGCCAGATAGATATGGTCACCCCAACCATCCACATTGGCAACAGAGACTTAACCACTAACAAATTTCACATCTGAATGAATAAAAATAGAAGAGATCTCATATTCTGATACCATTCATATGAAGGTCTAGCATTGACAAAAATAAGTTGGGTAAATACAAAAAGCAGGACACTCTGCATTCTGGGGTCCGCTGATAGGGAAGGGGTATGAGGAAACTATCTGTTGTAATGGCAATGTTCCCTATTTTGGTAAACAGTTGGAGCACAAAGGTGTACACATTTGTGAAAACTCAGTGATAAGTTTTTGATACTGTATTCTGTAGATTCCTAAATAGCAATGTTATAAAACGTTACCTCAATTTAAAAATAAAATAAAATACCTACAAATATTGGGCTCTAGTGAATAATATGCAGTCTGAAGTTAATTGTGATAATGATATATACTAGAGTGAGGTAACAAGTGACAAGGTAACAAGTAACTCATATATGTCAAGTATGGAATTTCTTTACAAGTGATATGTAAATGTCAGAGACAGGGGGATAAAGAGCCATTCATAGAAGATTGCTCCTGAATGCAATTGTACTGACTGTAGTCATTTAGGTTTTCTTAAACTTTTGGTATTTTCCTTGTTCTGAGTCCATATATTTTTTGGTTTGTTTTGTTATTCTATAATCCTGTACTTTGCAGGAACAATCTTGTTTTCAGAATCAATGGGCTTCTTTCATTGTTATATGTGTGTACTTTGGCAGCAGTGTTATTTTGGTTTATCAATTGCTTCGGTATTATCTTAGCTTTTCTCACCACCTTTTTTAAAAAAAGTTTTTATAGTAGTTACAAGTATAAGCAGAGTCTATCCATATGATAAAATCTTTTTAGCAGTCATTTTATTTCTCAAACAGCAAATATAAACTGACTTTTTAAAAGAGGTAATGTTTACAGTCTAACTTTTCTCTTGTTACCTTTTCTTTAATAATAGTACTTTTAAAATGAGATCTGGAATATTTTAGATGAACATTTTATTAGCAACATTTATTTTTGGGAGTCTCAAAGATAAAAGGAAACATATTATAAGAAATTTGAGCTTTAGTATAATATTTTTAAGGGTTTTTTTTTTCACATCTAATTTCTGTTATGGTAGTAGATTCGCTCAGAGTAGGTGCTCTATCATTATCCTAAAATCTTTCAAGGTATTTTTCATCTTTTGGTTCTCTTGATAAATGTGTTGCTGCTATAAGAAAATCAATTGGAATCATGGTTCTGAACCTACCAGACCCCCATGCATCTTTCTAAAATTGATATTGTTTAACCTACCTAGATATATAACTTTTTAATGGAATTACCTTAATTGTAATATAAAGAGGTAAATAATGTTTAAATTCCTCAATATGTAGATTTTGGGACATAATGTTTGTATCTATACATAGAAACTGAATGGGATCTACAAATATGGACTGTTAAAATGTGTCAGCAACTGATGTACCTCAAACTATATTGTCAGTGTCATGATTTTCTGAAATATTTAAACAATTGTTGATAAAGTTCTGAACAAAGCACAGCACAGGTTTTCTTCAGCTTACATATTATATGTATTTCTTGAAATGTTGGCATTTATTAAACTATATAAACATAAATTTTGTTCATATTTATATATAACACAGGTTCTAACTGAGATCATTATAAGCAGATTTTCATCTTCATGAATGTCTAGGAGAGCAATGAGAAGTTATGGAAGTTAAAGGAGAATTCTCATATGTGAAGGATTCTCCTGTGAAATTCAGGTCATTTACCATGCCTGGATCCATGTAGTCATTATGACAACACAAACACAGCTTACACATTTTTTACAATGATCTCATTGGCAATGATGTCACTTCTAGAATAATGTTTTTAGTGTATAAAGTAAGTAGGATTACAAAGGAAGCCAGTAATACTGTAATATAAATCAGGTTAAGAATTCCTGTAAGGACATAATAATAATAGTAAATTAAAAAACAAAATCTGCAGGGAACTATAAATCAGAGATATTCTGCAGGGGACGGGGAGGGACAGGGATCAAAACAGGAGAGGGAAGAGCACAAGGGACTGTGGTGATGGTGCCCGTGTGAATTGGTAGTAGGAAATTTATGGGAACTACACCTGAGAGGAGGAGGCAAATATAGTACAAAAATGAACAATGATATGAAATATATATATGTACATGTATATATATTAATTAATTTTTAAAAAGAATTCCTGTAAGAGGTAACACTGTATCTCTGTACAATAATCATACTCTAGCTAAAAACAATTATATCACAAGGAATTATAGTATTAGGGAGTCGGTGAAGGCCTTAGTGTTAAAATATTAAGGATTAGAAAGTGCATTTGGGTGTCTTATATCATTTTGTCATCAACATAATGGCATCAATAGGGGTTTTATATCAACAATAATAAAATGAAGCAAATAGCATAGGAGCTCTATTTCTATTCTGATTTTGTATTCTATTGGAAATTAAATGTATTAGTGGGTTAATGCTTTTTTTCTCATTATGAAACTGATTAAAGTAAAACTTAGTTCTTTTGCCAACTTGACTATTAATATATTACTTAAGAGAATAAAGTACCATAGCATAACAAAATTTTCCTCATCTTGTCATTGAGCAAGTTGGCAAAGAACTTCTTCACATACACAGGGTAGTTTAAAAACACAGGAATAAGAATTGTAAGTAATCAAGAGTTTATTTTCTCAGGTGCTCTCAATATTTTCTAGGAGTACAATGAAGAGGTGACTATATTGTATGTGATTGAATAGCTTGTCATGAAAAATGTGCAGCATTTCCCAATGGTGATTTTTATTTCTTTTAGGGTATGTCTCTGTGCCAGACTATTGTTGTAGGCTGTGTGGTCATTCTTCTCTATTCTTCAAGAGCATGTTACAATTTGGTGGTGATCACCATATCTCAGGACACACTAGAAAGTCCATTTAACTATGGCTGGGATAACCTTTCAGATAAGGTAAGTACCTACCACATATTACCAACCTAATATGATAATGAAGTTGACCTTAACTAGGAGAACATTTTAAGTACCGTTTCACATAATATATTCCATCTTTACTTATGTTAAATTAACTTTGTACTAACTTTTAAGCATATCAACATATTATTTTATCAGAATTTCAATTACCTTTCTAAAGAGAAGGAATTTTCACATGCGGTCCCAAATAGCAGGCTCTTTTCACTCCTTTTACCATTTTCCTCCCCAACACCTAATAGAACAGAAGTAAATTCAATATAGCATTCAAGCCTCCAAAGCTTATTTTTCAGTAACAGAAGAGCTGAGGAAACTCACATGTTCCTTTTCACTTGTTGGGCAAGTGCTATTCTTTTGTCAATACAGCTGTTGGAACCAATAATCTCTTTTATAACTCTTCTCAGACTGTGGAACCTAAAAGTGAGGTCACTCCCTATTACGCTTATATTAAAACTTTTTATGAATTTATGCAGTGTGAAAAAGTTAATAGCTTTTTATTCTAGTACAAATATTAGAGTATGTTAAGTTCTTTAAAGGATAAATATCTTTGCATTAAAAAAACACAAGATAGGGAAAATTGACTCAGAGTTTATATGTTTTATGTATTCTGTGTTTTTTAACACTCTATCCGAAGCAAGTTAATTGTAGAGGGTGATTGCATTTACATAAAAGTTGATCTGTCCGTTCTCCCTGGTGGCGCAACCGGTTTAAGCACCACATTATGAAGCTCTCAGAAGCCACTGCAGCATG